CAGTATTATTCATATCGGAGCATCACCCGTTGCAACCCTCGAGGGGGTCCAAATTATTAAAAGTGACAGCATTTCTCTTTCTAAGATATTCTTGCCGTATAATATACATTTGATGAGGTTGATGTATAGTCTCAAAACATTTAAGCAAGACCAATTAAAGACTATTATATGATCGTAATATACACTATGAGTTTATATCCAGCGCTCGATGAAGCATTTGAAAAGATGGATACTGTTGATGGATTTCGAATTACATCAAATAAGCGACATAAAAAATCGAATAGAGAAGGATAGGGAGTTGGATTGTATAAAAAGTATCGCAGAGCCGTGAATGCTCTGGACGGAGTTGACACCTCTCTTGTAGCGGCTAGCATTGGACTCGGTGTAGCTGGTGCCGGTTTACTATCAACTATAATCGCCACGCCTATCGTGCTCATCGTGGAAATAGCCGCCGGAGTCTCGGGACTGGCAGGAATAGCGATACAATTCATTTCTTGTAGATTACAAAAGAAATCATTAAAACACGATAGTATTCGGATACTAGCCGAAGCAAAGTTGAACAGCATTGAGGATCATATTTCAACAGCAATGGTCGATTGTAAGATATCCGAGGATGAGTTTCGTTTAGTGTTGTCAGAACTCACCAAATACAACGAAATGAAGCAGGAGATTCGATCAAAATCTCGTAAGACCAGTGGTATTAGCGAAGACGAGAAAAAAAAGTTCATAGAACAGGGGAGGCAACAAGCGCGTCAATTATTCCGTGCCAAAACCTCAGAACTGGTTGGAGATTAAAAATAGATTGCTTACTATCGTTTGATCACATTTAGACAAATGCCTTCATACATATATAATAATGGAGAAAGCTATTCAATGGAGAGAATTACCACAAGGTTTTTATTATATCAGTGATGTCAAACAAACCAAATACGGTTATCAATTGTTTCTTATCAATTTACAAGAAGAGTGTAGTTATATAGTCTGGTCTCCTAGTAAAATGAACGAAGAACTTAATAAAAATGTTGAATATCGCTTTATTGATAAAAATAATAAAGAATATTTTTATTACCATTTAGACTCATCTAAAGCAATGATTGACCCCAGGTATTGGTGAGCTAGAGCCAATTTAACTTAATCTCATGACTATCATTGAATCGCATAGTCATTTTGGCATAAAAAATGCCACCTGTAGTAGCAGTATAGGTATATGAATCCGGCTCCAGTGGAGTTGTGGCAGAACCCCCATTACCTATACTATTTGTCTTGTTGAGTTTCAAAGAGCATCAGAATGTATAATAAATTTGTTGCAATCAATTATTGCTGAAATATATCTGTTTTGATCAAAATTGAAAGGATGGAAAATCTATAATGAAAAGGGTTTTGTCACTAACGTAAATATTCTCTTTGACCTTATACGAAGAGTATTCTAAGATCATTAAACTCGGCAATCGTTGGTGGATTGCGCCAAGCAACCTTGATACCAAATTTGGTACCTCACGTATGATGTGGTACATAATTTTCGAAACAGAAAATTACGTTTTTCATAGGTTATCACTAATTTGTTACATATATATGGACAGAAATTACCTCAGAGGATAATTTTCTCTGGGGGTTTAAGAGGATTAAAATAATTCCAGCTAACATCAAGCACTGTAATAAAATATTGAAATTATAGCATACCTTCTTACATTCCAATGAAAAGAATAGTGACTAACTAAGAAACCAAATTATATTTATCTCCGATACTATGCCCTCATCAGTATACACACACATACATACACACAAACACACATATACACACCAACACACACACATACATACAAACACATGCACACATAGGTATGTATGTATCTGTGTGTTTGTGTGTGTGTTTATGTATGTATGTATGTATGTATGTATGTATGTATGTTAATACGACCTTTATATGTCATTGGTATCAGATCTATGACTGCACTTCTACATATAGTTCCAAATGAAAGATAGTAAACGTGTGAGACCTGCATCACTTCGGGCTTTCCTCCCACATTAAGCTGACACGCCGTGATATAACTTGAATACTGTTAAAAGCAGCGTTAAACCCAACTCACTCACTCACTCCAAGTGAAAGATGAGTGACACTACTCTGTGAGAGGTCCCACAAAAATGTTGATATGAGCAATTAAAGGTTATACAAAATGTAACAAATACAAGACATTTATGATAATTCCTATACTCTTTGAAACTGTACAAGAGTTATCTGAAGATACCGGATGTTATTTGTGTATGCACGGGATCTGTCAACTCATTTGTTGTATTTGAATTCTTCGTCAAAATAAAATGAATTGTATAAATATGATTAAATTCCCTCGTTTGTTTCAGGAAAAGGATCATGTGTACTCCTTATCAACTCGTATAGCGTTTCCACTGCACATCGACAAACTGGTTGACCAGCCTGTTTTTGTACCCTTCGTCATCACTCGTTCAGTCGTGTCGAACTGGTCAACGTACTGTTGAAGCAAGTCATGCAAAAAACATCTTGAATAGCCTTATAAGAGTATTGAACAATATGTCACAATTAAGTTATTTGTCGAATACACTGTTGTGTAACCCATCATTTTGAACCCGAGGATGGATCTTTCAGTCATTTAAATTTATCGATGTTGACACCACCCTTTAATGATGATTGTACGATAAAACAGTTTTGTACGTTTGTCATCATACACAGTATTTCTCGAATTGTACATGTGAAACGCAAGCTCAACTGACAAAGATCATTTCTAGTCAATAGGCGTCTTGGACACTACGGTAGTAAGGTTATTGCAATTTACGTAAGAATTTATTACATTTTACCGCAAGAAGAGAATATTACAATTTACGTCAATTTGTATTACAATTTGCGTATTACAATTTACGTCAAATATTATTACAATTTACGTTGTTATTACAATTTACGTCAAAATTATTACAATTTGCTGCAAGTATTACAATTTACCTTTTTATTACAATTTACGTCGTAACACAAGCTAAATTAAGTTTCATTTTCTCATTCAAATAATATGGATGTATATATTGATATATTGTATTATATATGGAAAGAGACCACCAAAGAGGAGAAAAAATCGACCACTTGACGCAATATTTGGCATTTTCAATGAACACGCGGAATAGCAAAACGCGAGAAATTTCTGCCAGGCCGACCTGCTCTCAAGAGGCTTTCTTACGAAATTAACCAAGGATCGGCCCCCGCAGTACCTCCCTTCCTAGTGAAAAGTCGTGACCTCCGTCTTTCAGAGGGGATTGTGACCATGACCGACCTTGGGACGCATGAATGAAATAAAGTTGCTAAATTCAACAGAATATTATTGCATCTTTACAATTATATTTACATACATTTCTAATCTATGACACATAAAAGTAGGCAATATGTAAATGTTGCCTGGTCGGTCCCATCGACTGCTTTCAGTGGGTAATGGATCTCTGATATTTCGAATTCAAACAAAGCAGGATTCTATAGTCAACATATTTTAAATTCGTTAATTCAACCACATACTGTACATATATTTGTTTTTTATTAGAACATCGTACATGTACCATTACTTACCTATCGAATGTGGACGATGATGCAATACATTCTTTGTGGATATGAAATGCATTTTATGTAATAGTCACAACATTGCTGACTAATTCCTTTTATATTTAAGTTTAAGTATTTTATTTCCATCAGACAGCCGTACATACTTTACATCCATGAATAGACCTTTCCAGGTGTTTCAATGTGAAATTCATATCTTGCGTGTGCGTGCGTGCGTGCGTGCGTGCGTGCGTGCGTGCGTGCTTGCGCGCGTGTGTGTGTGTGTGGTCATTAATAGGTTGGATATGCATGAGTAAGAAACCCCAATCACATCAGATAAAGTAAAGTTGATCGGTCAATCATAATTTGTTACTCACATTCGCTCTTTGTAGTTTTCTCTACGTACATGTTCATCTTCTTGTCTTCGCCTCCTTTGTGTTAACTACTTTCCTTAATACATCACCTGTATTCAACAAATGACGTCATCTTCAACTACACACATTTGGTTTGGTATGGTACTGTACTGTACCACCGGGACATGTAGGAGAGTGACCTCAAGTGGTAGAGTGTCCGCCAGGAGAGCGGAAGGTCAGGGGTTCGATCCCCGGCCGCGTCATACCAAAAGACGTTTAAAGATGGTACTTGTTGTCACCCTGTCTGGCGCTCGGCATTAAGGGGCTAAAACAAGGACTGGTCGGCTCATCTAATCGTGTAGGAGAGGGAATGATCGCTGTAAACACTCTCAAATGCATATGTGTTTGTAACCGTAAGTTTGAAATAGTCAAGAATAAAAGAAAGTAAAAACTCTTGGAATATGCGTTACATTTATCACTACCTGCGACCCTTTTTCGGAAATCGCTAATCCGTATATATAATTACGCGTTCCAAAAGACAACCGTATTGAAAACGTTCTTGCCATCATGGAGATACATCTGCTGTGTTTGGAAAATTGATGTATATCCATTGTAGATTTGATACCTCTTATTTATACATCTGACATCTCGGGCTTAAGCACTCGGTTCCGCAGTGGGACTACATATATCAAATTTCAAAAGACAGGTTACTCTCCTAAATAAATACAAACGTCGATGCACGTTGATTGTTTGATGATGATCAATATCCACCGTGCATGTTTCTTTTGTTTTCCGAATGATGCTAAGAATGATACAAACATGTAATGATATTTTTTTGAAAAAATGTATTTAGACTTCATTTCCTCCAGAAACAAGAGTGCACCAGAAGAACAAATGGTATCTCGCACATTGTTTACATTTGTCGAACAAGCGAACGAAGCAGTTTTTACATAAATCTTGATTTAATTGTTTGCAATGCTACATGTGCTATGTTACTATTTATATCCAAATCATATTATGTTATATTTATAGTTTCCAAGAAGCCTACTGTATGCGGGCTGCCACAATTGATATTAGAAATCTGCATATTGTTGTACCTGATATCAGCAAGCTACTGGTAGCTGTATGACGGCATTCTACTCATTACCGCCAGACTGGCCTTGCAGCAGATGTTTCCTCCAATTGGCTCTCTCTCCTCGGAAACGTGTGCACAGCAAATATCTTTCGCCCACTGAGACACTAGTTGCTGTCTTCAACAAGTAGACATGTTCATGTCTGCTTAATGACCACTACACTTGCCATTTTGCACTGTTAAGTGAAATACATCTCCCCTGTTTGACCAAGACCGTTTCAAGTACGACGCCTCGTCAACAACAGAAGCGAGCTTCCAGTGTATATGACTGTCGGCGCATGTAGACAGCTACATATACGTTCAGCTGTGTTCGATCAATGAGGCCCTCGACAGTATGAAGCATCATGCAAGTCCAACCGTTTGCGCTGGGAAAGACGTTGGCTAAGCCATGGCATGAAGTAAGGACGGCCATTGTTTCTATTTTTATGCAGTATTCCTTGTGCTTATCATGGATCAGAATCGTCATGCTTGAACACTTGATCTGACGCATATCTAACGGAATATTTGAAGCATACGAAAGACAGGAACTTGTCAGGTGAGTGGTTCTGTCAGTAACATTCACAGGCATGTGCACACATGTATGGAAAAGTTACATAACACGAATGCATCAACTCTAATTAGGTTTATACTTCTAGGTTTGAAGATCAAAATCATGAAAGTGTGTTGTGACAACATTGCTTGATAAAATATAGCTCATCTTCAGAATTCCCCATTGTATGCAAATGAACTAAACATACTCATGTGATGCCAGCTGAACATAGTCCAGGAGCCAGGGGTCATTTATCTGCATGAAATGAGAGAGTCTTTCATTGGTATTTCTGAAAGGGGTATCCCATGGGGTATCCAAAACAGAACTGCTTGAATGGCACCCCCGGGGCATTTAGCCAGAGTTAACCCATTTCTCTCATTTTGCCGATATGGACTATCTGGCGAAAAAGTGGGAAAGGGCAACTTCAAAATTGAAATGCACTCTTATTAATGGACCTATAAAAGAGATCTAGGTGTCAAAATGAACATCGTGTTAAGCTCCATTGGATCCAATCATGAAATATGCAAACTGACCTTTTTACAGGTCAGTAGGGGGGTCAAAGGTCACGTGACGACCCTTGAGCTAAAAATTCCGCCTTTTTTCTTATCCAAGCCCAGTTTAGTAAGAAAGACAACAAATATTTTTATAAAGTGAATATGTTTTATTAGATAAGATGCCAGGTAAGTTTTTAAAACCATTTTTGAAGCAATATCTTGAGGTTAGGCTAGCCCACAGCACTGTAGATAATGTGCATTTTTAGCTCTCAGCCCAGATATGTCTCAAGTTACGATTTTCACCACGAGATGGCACTTCTCACAAATAACTGATCTTCTGTCTTATGATGAAGGGTTGTTTTGTATAACAATGTAACAAGTATAATGTTCTTAAAACAAATAATGTAGATTCCTGTTTTTACAGCATCATTTCAAATAGTGGAGATGTAGTCATCAGTTCTGGTAAGTCCCTACACTATGATGTGTTGCCCTAAAATGAGAGTTAAGAAATTGACAAGCTGTAAGAGTCTAGTGAAAACGTGTAGGCCTATCCTTACCATGATTTGGATGATTTGTTGTTGTATCCATACGAAGACACCGATGTGGCGTGGCTGGAATTCGTTGGTGTGTCATGATCCACTGCCAAGACAGGTCATAGGCTACATAGAGAACATAGAGCCGCCCCCGACAAATTTGGACGTTGTAAGGGAAACGATGGCAAGATCACAGAAAGTTGCATCAGAAAGCGGTGATAAGTATGCAGTGGTGACGTACGACGTAGCGATTGCAAAGCCAGCCCTGCAGATACAGGCTCAGGAATCTCTCCTCTTTGGTTACGTCTTTGTGTGCTTTGGAGCTGACATATTTTGCTTGCTTAGGCTACTTCTTGGAATCATCTGGAGGATGGTTCAAAATGTGGTCCTGATGTGCTAGCTTCTGGTTCCATGCGTGGCTTCATTCGCGGGAAACACTTCAACAGGAGTAAGCGTCTGCATTCCCTGTTTGCGACAGCGTTGCAAATCATTCACTTCAAGCAATTCCTGGAGTCCCATGGACACATATCTGATGAATGCATGGCATTGCTGAATGCCTTTTCTGAAGCACCGAGCCCTGGATCGTTGTCTACTCTCATTGATTCCTCTGCCATTGTGAATTTGCTTGAGAGATATGCGCAATACTGCGACGAAACGAGAGCCGGACGTCATGGTCCTACTGCAAAGTACTGGATGCTGTATATTGATCTAGTTCACCTGTACCTCCTCCTCGACCGGGCATGTCAAACTAATGACACAACTCTGTTCATCTTTGCACTGGGTGAGATGATACCTATGTTCTTCGCCACACATCGTCCAAACTACGCAAGATGGATATCACGCTATCACCTCAACCTCATTTCGAGGTGCAGTGGTGAGTTGTATGTTAGAAATGGCAGGATTAACAGCCCCAAAAGAAGTGTCCAAAGAATTGACGCCAGCCAGGATTGAGAAAGACAATTCTCATCTCCAAGACCTCATCAGAGAAATCGAAGGCACCCAGAACCCATTCATTCCTAGTGATGACAATCTGTATTGTCTCGCGACCGGAAAGGCTGCCTCTGACACTGTCAAGGATGAACTTCTGCAATTGCAAGAGAAAGGTTCAGAATGGCGTCAGAAATTTGTCAATGAGTGCAAGGAAGACCCAGCCAGATTCGAGAAACCAATCAAACGCCAGAAGGTGAAGAACTTCGCTCAAGATGCAGTAAAGATGAAATTCCCCGCCAAAGATCAAAAGATCAGAGAGGTCAGCTGCACCAGAGATTTGTTCGGAAGACTCGCGTATCTTGCTGTGATGCAGAAAATTAATTTGGGCACTGTCTTGTTGCACCCTCTTACACCAGTTCCGTTCTCTCTCTGTTCTCACAGGGGATATGAATAAGACTGCAAAGAGTATGTTCATGGAAAAGCTTGAGGCACTGGGGACAGCTGCTAACAATGAGCCAGATTCAGTCGATGCCTATCTAGTTGATGCCATGTTCTTCATACGTACTCTTCCTCCCTTGCCATCTTACTTCGGCGGTGTAGCCAGGTCAATCCTTCAGCTCGTCTGTACCAATGCCAAAACAGTTCATCTCATCTCTGATACATATCCGGATGGACCATCAATCAAAGATCAGGAGCATGACAATCATGGTTGTTCGGTGATGCATTCTTACAAGATCACCGGTCCTCTACAGAAAAGACCAGCTGACTTCCAAAATGCCTTGAAATCTGCTGATTTCAAACGGGAATTGCTTTCCTTTTTGAAAGATGAGTGGCTCAGTTCAAGTTATGCAAGTATTCTGGAGGGCAACAAGCTGTATTATGCAACTGGACAGGAATGCTTCCTCTTCACATCAAATGGTAGACAGGTAGAGAGGATAACAGTTAATGACCTCGGGTGTACCCATGAGGAGGCCGACACGAGGCTGGTGTTTCACGCTAACTTCGTTGCTGCCTCTGAGGAGATGCCAGGAGTGGTGGTCCACAGCATCGATACGGATGTATTCATTCTTCTGCTATACCACGCAAATATATCAATGCGAAGTTGTGGATGAAGCAATGCCCAGCTTCCATGCCTTCACAGGCTGCGACGTCACTGCAGCATTCAGGAGGAAGGCGACGTCGAAACCATATGAAATTATGGTGAAGAATGAATGATTTGTTAGGGCATTATCCATGCTAGGAACGTCGGATACGATTGATGTGGATGTTGCGGCCACACTCCAGGAATACGTCTGCTGCATGTACGGGTTGAAGAATGCTCAAAGGACCAACGATGCAAGACTGCAACTTTTCCAAAATATGTATGCACCCAAGAAGCAGTCAGACCCATTGGAGAAAATCAAGTCCTCTGATCCATGCTGCCTACCACCATGCAGAGCAGTTCTTGAAGAACTAAAGTGAACCAACCATGTGGCATTTATCTGGTAGAATGCATGCAGTGCAGAGCCAGTAGGATTTGGTCCCATCAGGCATGGTTGGAAAGTGGAAGACAATAACAGGTTGGCTATGGTGTGGTTTGAGTGCCCGCAGGTGCCTCGAAACTTGTCGGTGGATGATTTGGACTTGAAGATGAAGATGACGGTACGCTGACCCCAAGCCTTTCTTCAGATGAAGAGGAGTCTGATGACGAATAGGATCATTGAAGTCAACAACATGATAACTGCACGTCACTGCGGTTTTATAGTGATGACTTATCATCTGGTAAATAAGTTTTAATACCGGAATATCAGATCCTTATATGGTGGCATTAGAGATGGCAAATGGGTAATTTGGGCGTACCAACATTAACCTGATCTATCGTTGTTCTTGATCCTTTATTTAGGGCAGAAGACCATATATTGTCTTTCAAGTTGCCCTGGTTATGTAGGCCATATTTGTTCATTGCCTGCATAAATTCATTACAAGTGGATGCAATTTTTTTGCATACTATCAGACCTTTGCACCCTTGTTGGACCCTTGACCCTTGAACCCAGGAAAAGATTACCAAAGGCCTACTTCGCAGTTTATCATAATATCATCCTGTATTCAAAATAACTTGGCTACAACATTTCAACTGCATGTGTGGATTCGTATGGAAGTGCCATCTCGTGGTGAAAATCGTAACTTTTGAGACATATATGCTTTGGGCTAGCCTAACCTCAAGATATTGCTTCAAAAATGGTTTTAAAACTTACCTGGCATCTTATCTAATAAAACATATTCACTTTATAAAAATATTTGTTGTCTTTCTTACTAAACTGGGCTTGGATAAGAAAAAAGGCGGAATTTTTAGCTCAAGGGTCGTCACGTGACCTTTGACCCCCCTACTGACCTGTAAAAAGGTCAGTTTGCATATTTCATGATTGGATCCAATGGAGCTTAACACGATGTTCATTTTGACACCTAGATCTCTTTTATAGGTCCATTAATAAGAGTGCATTTCAATTTTGAAGTTGCCCTTTCCCACTTTTTCGCCAGATAGTCCATACCGGCAAAATGAGAGAAAAGGGTTAACTCTGGCTAAATGCCCCGGGGGTGCCATTCAAGCAGTTCTGTTTTGGATACCCCATGGGATACCCCTTTCAGAAATACCAATGAAAGACTCTCTCATTTCATGCAGATAAATGACCTGGACTAACACAACAGTTTCAATGTTACAGGCATCAACGTTAAGAAACTGTGCTTCGTATAAGTGTTGTAGTTTGATTTTGATTGTTGTTCAACGCCGCACTCAGAAATATTCCAGCTTAATGACGGCGAGCGATATGAGCATCGATCCACGCAATTGGTTGTTGGTTGGTTGTTTTGTTGTTTAACGCTGCACTCAGCAATATTGCAGCTATATTACGGCGAGTCTGGACCAGAAATTCCATGGATTGATATCATGAGCATTGATCCACGGAATTGGGATCGACGACATGCATCAACCAAGTCAACGAGCCTGACCACCCTATCCCGTTTGTCGCCTCTCACGACAAGCGACGGCAAGCATGGGTTGCTGAAGACCTAT